TTTTTTTTTTTTTTTAAAGAAAAACTAAAATAAAATATTTGCCTCAGTAGCCCATCCACTGCCTCCTCATCTTACGTCCATCAGCAGAGCTGCCCTGCCCACCTGTGCCTCTGGTGTTTCTCTTCACCACCTCCCCCCCTTTCCAAAGCAGCAAGGCTGCTCTCCGCCCAGGGCAGCCCGCTGTGCCTATTCTGGCCTCTCCCTCAACAAATCCATTCCTTGCAAAGAAGCATTTTCTGACGGCTTGTGCCTGTGCAGGCATCCTTGATATCCTTCCCTATTCATAATAACCTCCCATTTTAATATTTAAAAAAAAATTGAGTCCACAGTAACATTTGTGTCTCCTGTAGTAACCTGCATCTGTTCAGTGACATGTTATCTAGATGTATAGAATTAGTATTTTAGCTCATCATACTTTTCCTTTTTTTTCCCCAGGCAGCAAATGCTTTCCTTGCCCAGAGAATCAGCAGCATTAACTCTATAAGTGCCCTCTGTGAGGCAACAGGAGCTGACGTAGAAGAGGTAGCAACAGCCATTGGAATGGACCAGAGAATTGGAAATAAGTTTCTCAAAGCCAGTGTTGGTAAATGGAAAGTTTTCTGTATATAAAATTGGTTTATTTAGTAGATTATTTTTTTTTTAAGATTTATTTATTTATGCCTACAGAACTGGGATATAGGCCAGAGGTGTAGGGCTGGTGAGTGGACTCACCAGAGACAGAGTGAGGAGCAGAACATGCAGATTGACAAAGTACCCCGCTGCGGGGAGCAATGGTTGGGACAGGAGAGGTCTGCTTTGCCATGTGGGTCAGCTCCCTGGTGGCCCTTTCATTGTTCTTAAATGAAAATATTATCATGTCATTTTTTCTTCAGGTTTTGGTGGGAGCTGCTTTCAAAAAGATGTTCTGAACTTGGTCTATCTCTGTGAGGCTCTGAATTTGCCTGAAGTAGCTCGTTATTGGCAGCAGGTATCCTTTTTTTTTTTTTTTTTAAAGAACTGTGGTACAGAGGTGGTGAGAAAGGATTCAGAGACAGTGGGGGGCAGAACAGGCAGATTGACAGAGTACACTGCTGAGAGGAACAGCGGGCGGGTCAGGAGAGGTCTGCTGTGCCCTGTGGATCAGCTCCTTAGCCAGGGGACCATCTCCTGCTGAAGTGGCTTTGGCTGTGGCCAGCTTGCAGTGCTGCGTCCTAACCTGTTGCACCACCAGGCAGGGCCTGTAAATAGACATTTTTTTAAAGGAAAATATATACTCTTAAATTCATTTTATTCAGTCTAGCATGCTGACTTTACCTTGCTGTCCACTGGGAGAAAATGCAAATAAAGACTTCCCTTCCAGCACATTTGATCCATTTCCCAAGCTCTTGGCTTGGTGAGGGCCCCCAGAAGTGTAGAGTGAGAAGAAAATTCTTTTTTTTTTTAAGCTGTGTTGGTGTGACACTTGCTATAGCTAAAGACAAAATTCTTTTTTTTTTTTTAAAGATTTATTTATTTATGCATTCAAATACTGGGTTACAGGCCAGAGGTGCAGGGGCGGTGAGAGAATTCACCAAAGACAGAGTGAGGAGCAGAACAGGCAGATGTACTGAAATACACTGCTGAAGGGAGCAGCCGGAGTGACAGGAGAGTTCTGCTGTGTCATGTGGGTCACCTCCCTGGCCAGGGATGGAGCTCAGGCCCTACCCGTGATAGGGCTGAGACTTAACCCCTAGGCCACCAGGGAGGCCCCAGAAAATTCTTTTAGATTCAGCTGATCATTAGCATAGTCTTGCTTATAAACTTATAGAACTGTAACCGGTTAGATGATGAGAGACTTTTACTCTCATAATAAATGTCCATGTGACGTGGTTCATCCAGAGGCAGCTGTAACTCTGTCCTTTGACCAATTTCTACTCACACTGTTTTGGTAAGGGGTGGGTGTAAGTACTTTGGGATTGGACTGCTTATAGCCTGGCTCCCAACAGGCTGGAGACATTAGGTAAGGAGAAGACTGTCTTCAGTATGCCTGGCTTAGGCTGGCCTTTTAGCCAGACCCTCAATGCTTTTACAATCGAAGCTTAGCTTTGCTCCCCAATTTTACAATTATCCCAGCCTGATGTGTGGAAAATCGAAATAAAATGAAATGAGAATGAAAATGACCAGGATGGCTTTAAGAAAGAGTAACTTTAAAAATTTTTACATCTGTAATACTGAAGAGGTTGGTTAATCTTTTTGTCACATCCTAATTTGTAAGGCTTTTACCCATATAGTAATACTCGCCAAAAACTCTAAGCAGTGTCTAGCACACTGCACTTTCTTCACTGGTTGTTGCATACTTCGAATTTCAGGTCATAGATATGAACGACTACCAGAGAAGGAGGTTTGCTTCTCGCATTATAGACAGTCTGTTTAATACAGTGACTGATAAGAAGATCGCTATCTTGGGATTTGCATTCAAAAAGGACACTGGTGATACAAGGTAACAGTTCTTTACAATATTTCAGTGTTAACTCCTCAGTTTACTTTGATTTTTGGTGGATGTATGTGAAATACTTGTGTGTATATATAGTTATAAAGAATAAAAATAACACTCATTTTCTCATAATAGGATCTTATCTGTGTATTAACCCTTCTAGGTATTAGAATATATGTCATTTAAAGCATAGTGATACTGATTTTCTTTTTCCCTTAGAGAATCTTCTAGTATATATATTAGCAAATATTTGATGGATGAAGGTGCACACCTCCATATATATGATCCGAAAGTACCAAGGGAACAAATAGTCGTGGATCTTTCTCATCCGGGAGTTTCAGCGGATGACCAAGGTGAGGCTTTGAGTTTCATGCATCATTTTCAGTACAGGCCCCCAAACTGCTCTCTAGAAACCTGTAGTTATTCAGTTTTTACCATTCTTAACATTGTTTGGGTCCTCTTATCAACTTGATTTCTCTAAAATTAAAAAACTCTGAGGCATTGTTTAATCACCTTTGATTTGAAATGTTCAGCTTAGAGTTGGTCTAATGGTTTTCCAGCATAGCCTCACAAGTCCCAGGGGTGCAAAGAAGATCCTTCTGAGGCTAAGTTAGGGGTCCTGCCGACACACTGCTATTGACCCTACTCACACTTCAGCCAGACCATACCACTCTGTCAGGTCTCACCACTTCTTGCAATCCTAGTATTAAAATACCTAATTCACATAGTTCCTTTCTTATTGCCAACTTCCCTTACTGTTGTGGTTACAGTGTCCCGCCTCGTCACCATTTCCAAGGACCCCTATGAAGCATGCGATGGCGCCCATGCTGTTGTTATTTGCACTGAGTGGGACATGTTTAAGGTGAGGTGACAGAAATGATATTAAAGGAAATTATAATGATGTTCTAATATCAGCTGCTGAGACCAAAAGTGTATTTGTGTATGAGTCCTAATTGTTCCTTTGCTTGTCTTTGCAGGAGCTGGATTATGAACGGATTCATAAAAAAATGCTGAAGCCTGCCTTTATCTTTGATGGACGACGTGTCCTGGATGGGCTCCATCATGAACTTCAAACCATTGGCTTCCAGGTAATCACAAACCTGGGCAGGTTTTGTTTGTTGGATCATTTGTTTTTTCATGGCTTTGAGTTTAGAACTTTAGAATATTATTTTCTCAGTCAGGATTAGCATCACCCTGGAGAAACTCGGCCATGGGGCAGGTCCCTGGGAAGCCTATGGGATTTTTGTAACTACTACTACCTTAAATTTGCCACTTAAAGATCATAAGTGTTGATCACCCATACAAAGTGTATTGGAAGTCATCACTTGCCGACCATGTAGGGACAACATGTGCCCTCCTTACCTCTTACCATAAAGATCAAGTAAGAAAGTGTCTGCTTGTGTTTTTTTAACCCCATGAGCCAACAAGAATGCTCTGCTGAATTACCTACGCGGTCTCAACCTCTTCAGACTTGGTCACAATACAAATGTTTTGAAACATTGTGCCTATAAAATGTGGTGTAGTTGTCACAGGTAGGTCTTACTGCTGTGAGAGACTGGAATGATAATGCAGGTGCAAAAAAGATAGTTACAGGTGTTTCATTGGTCCTGGCCCTTCTCTAATTCAGAGTTTGCCAGTTGATGATGAAACATTGGCCAAAGCATTCATGAGGAGGTGCTCTTCATTTTCTCAGGGCAGAGTGCATGGGATGGGAGGCTCAGGAGAAAATGGGATGATAAAGAAACAAGCCAGGAGAGGGCTTTGAGCTTCGTCCCTGAGCACAGCAAAGAGGGCGATGCCCTGAATCGGCTGTGCGTTTCAGCTCTCACCTGCTGTTTGAAGAAGTAATGCAAAGGCCTCATCTACTGTTCAATATCTGGCGTGGTTCTCCAGCCTGTCACCCACTGTTGATGAGCCTTCTAATTTGGAATTCAGTGCCCATTTCTCACTCCTGAGAGATGCACTTGCAGCAGGAAGCAGATGGCATCGCTGTCTGTTAACACTTCATCAGGGGCCTTGGGGACTATCTCAGCCAACCCCTAGCCCCCTTAATAACAACATGACTGTTTTTTCCAGTCATGACTTAAATTCTATGTTATTTTAAAAGTTTATTTACAAAGCCCAGACAGATTTTCTCCCATTCTTGTTTTACTCATCTAAGGAGAAGATAAGTAAAACATATATTTTAAAAAGGTTTAAATTCTTGTAAAAGTTAACTTTTCCTAGCGAGGATTAAAAAAGTAGGAATGGAATCACTAAATAGAATTTGTAAGTCTTAACTAAATGAGACAATTAATACGAAGCCAAAACTCCTTGTGACATTTATGACAGTTCTACGGTATATTTGCCTATGTTGTAGAGAAGAAAAAAAGGTGGAACTATTTAAAAGCTGTGCTGTTACAACTTCTACAATTTTTAGGACAGGACATGAGACGAGCTTATGAGAGAGAATGTAAATTAATTGGAATTTGATCCATTAATTGCTTTCCTCTCTGCTACTAATAAGAGTGGCAAATGATTCTCTACCCTGGGGGTGTCTGCGAAGGGGGTGGCAGAAGCAAGTGTCTGGCTACGAGTATCAAAGGTGGATATAGGGATACCTGAGAGACATAAGAAACAGAAAGAACCAGCGATCTTTGAAGTAACCGAAGCTACATAGGGAATGTTTTGTGCTTTTAAACACAAAAAAGTCTAGCTAGATTTTCCCTCTTATTACATGTATGTAAGTCTTTACACTTATGAATTGTAATTGTTAATATTGTCTTTCTAAAATTTCTTTTCCCTCTAGATTGAAACAATTGGCAAAAAGGTGTCTTCAAAGAGAATTCCATATGCTCCTTCTGGTGAAATTCCAAAGTTTAGTCTTCAGGATCCACCGAACAAGAAACCTAGAGTATAAAAGTTGCTATTTTTATTTGTAATTTTTTTCATAATTCAGGATAGTAAATATCTGACGTGAAGAGGCAAATGAACCAACTGTTTTTAAGGAAACAAAACTATTTTTTTAATAATCCAGTTTATACTAGCTATATTGGAATTAGCATATCTGGCAATTATGAATCTAGAGTGTTTTTTACATATTTTTATAATATTGTTACCTCAGTGATTGAATGAATGATAATCATGTTAATTTTAATAATGTCAGTTTTTGTAAATCAAAAATTAAGTTTTGAACACTTTCTACTTTACAAAATGTTCATAGGTACATTATAAAGTATAATGGGAAAAGCGGTCTTCAGTTTTCTGATCATTGGTTTATTTACTAGTTATTAAATATATATTTTCTAAACCATGAAATTGCTATGCTAATTAGTGGGCTAAAGCTGTTAACTTTTTTTTAAGATTTACTTATTTATGCATACAGAACTGGGGGTACAGGCCAGCAGTACGGGATGGGGTGAGAGGATTCACCAGAGACAGAGTGGGGCGCAGACCCGGCAGATTGACGCAGTACACTGCTGAGGGGAGCAGTGGGCGGCCAGGAGAGGTCTGCTGCGCCATTGTTAAGTTTTCAGAGTGTTGTGGAGACAGGCTGTGGCTTATCAAGGTTTTCCCAGTCAGCTCATGTCTCTGGACTGAGAAGGTAGATGGGGCCTTTTCTGCCTTCTGGTTGTGTATGCTCAGAAAATGTTCCCTGAGCTTCCATATTAAAAGTAGCTTGAAAAGTAGCCTCCTTTTGGTTTTAACGAGACACACTGTTGGTTTTACACCCCTCAGATCATCTCTAAATATTTCTAATCTATCTAAATAGGAGTAAAAGGCTTTTTTCTAACAAAATCAGTATGGATGTTTTACTCTCCTTGACTGCTTCCCCTCATTAGTCATTTTTTAGTCCAAGAGCCAATAATATTTGTTACCATGACTTTGCATTTTTATTTTCATTATTCATTGTAGTTTTTCCCTTTTTATTTCAGAAAAATCATTTTTTATTTTCATTTATAAATGTGAAGTTTTCATAATTACATATAGCATAACTCTAAAATAAGAATTTCTGTCTGTATATCCGTCTGCCTTTTTGTATGTCTCTTTCTGACTTATATTTAATTGTTTTCTTTCGTGTTTTATCAATATTGGACTATACGTTCATTTGCTTTTTATGCTCTAAGTGTGTACAAACTGAGCAAAACAGACATAGGCTTTGCCCTTTAGGAATTTTGTGGTTTAGTAAGAATACTGAGATTAATATGAGGACACAGATATCTGTACAGATATCAAATACATAAATAAAATACTCTACATAAACAACTGTGTGGGTGTAGCTTTTATCAGCGTACAAGTAACTAATGTGTCATGCATGGCATTAGACAGGATAAAAACCATTCCTTGCTCTCTTTAGAAAAGGGCAGTATATCCTTCTTTCAAGAAAGGGAAGGAGTTCAGAGATCAAGTAATGGCCGACTACAGCTCATGAGCCAAATCTGGCCAGCCACTGTGAGTTAACAGTGTTTTTTACATTTTTTATGAACTTATATTTCAAATTGTTGTGAAAGTTTCCAGTTTTGCCCTGTGACCTGAAAAGCCTAAATTATTTGCTGTCTGGCCCTTTAAGAAAAAGTCTGCAGATCCAAGACCAGAATGTTTGGACATGTGATGATTCTTTTCACCTAAGACTTTGAAGGGAGGATGAGCTGACATTTCTGCTTGAAAATATTTTTGTATTCCACTAAATCATTTTACATTCTCATAAAGGATTATAAGTTAAAGGAGATAGAATAGGCACTGGTTTTAAATTAGTAGTGGTAGCAATGGGAAAGATGCAGGAGAATTCAGACTGGTTTGGGGGAAAGCAAGTTGTCTTCTGTGTGGAGCTGAAGGGTGTGTAAAGAGTAAGTGAAGACCGGAAGACAATGAAGGACAGACAGCTGAAAGCCTCGAATGAGCTTGGGCTTCATTTAGTTATTGATGGTTATACACCATGAAAATATTTTTTGTCCCTGAGCTGAACACATTAAGATGGATGAAATCATAAATGGAAACACTATTTCGTTTCTTGGAAGAAGATAAAAAAGATACTACCTTTCTTCATCACATTAGACTCCTCTTAGTTTTCAGAGTTTATGTCCCAATCTCATATATTGGGCTGTCATATTATTCTACTTTTTTCATAGAAGAACTTGGGTGTAGGCCAGAGATGTAAGGAGTGAGAGGATTCATCAGAGACAGAGTGGGGAGCAGAGCAGGCAGACCTACGGAAATACACTGCTGAGGGGAGCAGCTGTGAGCTGCTGTGCCATGTGGGTCACCTTCCTGGCCTGGGATTAAACTTGGTGCTGCAGTGGCATCGATAGCTTGAGAGTGCTGAGACTTGAACACCTGCGCCAACAAGGAAACCCAGGGAAATAGAACTTTTAGCAGGTTGATAGACCATGTGAGAACTAAAAGTTTGATTACTATAGGAGGGTTATGAAAATTGGAAACAATTTTCCGACTACATCATATATATAGTTTTTGCTTATACTGATTTTCCATTAAGGTAGGAATAGAAAGTTTTAAAAGGATTTAACTTTAGAAATTCAGTCACATGTGTGTATATGCATATATACACATGACTGTACATACACACATGTATATGTATAGACATATACATCTGCATATACATATGTGTAAAAAAACTACTATAGTTCCCATCAAGATAAGACAAAAATTATCTAAAATTTTTTATGTGAAAGACAAGTTTTAAAAAAAGCAGCAGGTGGGCCCTCCCTGGTGGCCCAGCAGCTTGGAGCGCTGCACTGTGAAGCTAAGCCAAGCCTTGGCCTCTTCAGTGAGAGTTTGATCTCATCTCAGAGCTGACCCACATGGCGCGGTAGACCTCTCCTGTCTTGCCCGTTGCTCCCCTCAGCAGTGTACTTGCTGATCTGCCTGTTCTGCTCCCCACTCTGTTTCTGATGAATCCTCTCATTGTCCCTGCACCTCTGGCCTATACCCCAGTTCTGTATGCATTAGTAAATAAAATCTTGAAAACAAATAAACAAAAACAGCAGCAGGTGATCCATTTTAGTAATATTAAACTCAGCAGACTACCAGGGACATACTTCTAACACTAGAAACTAATGTGAAGTGAAACTTTTCTACCAGTAATCTTCACACTGTGACCCCTACATACAATTTGCAAAATCAGAAACTTTGAGAACACAGTGTACATGGAAAACTTACAGTATACATGGAAAACTCTACACGATGATTAAGACAGCAGCGTTCTCAGTATGGCATACCCAGCACACACTGATGGTTAGCTCTTCTGAGGACCCATTAAATTAACATTTACAGCTGAGAGGGAAGGGAGGCATAATCCAATAAAACAAAAATAGCAAGGGGCTGTCAGTGATAAACAGCTTTCAAGAAATTTCTGAAAAGCATTAAGTTGGTGGGTGTATATTGACTGAAGGATTCCTGGAATACTGGTGTGAGGACCAGAAGAGGCCTCCCGGCAGGACAGCAGATTCTGCCCAAAAGAAAGTGGGTACACAAAGGGGCATAACTATAGGTATCCTGAACAGTCAACTACCTCATATATTTTATCTTTGGAGGTGGAATGACAGACAGGCAGCCTGGCATTTACCCTCATACAACTACATTGCTCAGACTCGGGGGGGGGGGAACATTAAGGGAAGATTCTTCAAAGAAGCTGATGAAGCTGACGGGGAGAACTAGAGCATGCGCATTGCTCTGCACCAAAACTAAGTCCAACAGCAGCTTTCTACCCACTTGACCTAAAGCACAGCAGGGAGTCAAAGATCATCTGGCTTTTTGGTTAACTTGATTAAGCACACACACAATTCTCATTCTCTCTTGAAGCCTTACAAAAAAGGCAATTAGGATTAAGAAAGCTATAAACAGGAAGAGAAAGAGAATGGGAAAGGAGACATCAGTTGATGAGGCAGGTCAACCTGATAAGGGGAAGGATCTCCTAATGGAACTCTGCAGATTTTTGTGGACTCCATCCCTACTCGAGCTTTCTGGACTGTACCTCCTATTCCAGTGATTGGAAACTACAACTCCCAGCAATACCAAGGAGAAAACTGAGTACCCAAGGGCGGAGCTAAGCAGGCATTCTGGGACTTTGGAGGATAAATAGGGAGCCATTTTGTCCAACTGTCTCTCTCGCACTCGCTTGGGAAACGGCTCTCAGGACCGTGTGACTGTGTGCTATCAGTTTGTTCCTAGATCCAAGTCAGCTGAGCCGGTAAGATATTCTAGTTAGCTTGTATCTCTCTCTCTTTCCCTGGGTTGTCCCTTTTCCTTTCCCCTTTTGTAAATAAACCCATTATTGACCCTTTTGTGTGTGTCTTCAGTACAACTAAATTTTTTTTTTATTAAAAAGTTTATTTTTACATCATTTTGCACATTTTTTTTTTCATCTCAATTGTAATCCCCATGGGTTTCCCATCACCAAATCACCCCTGTGCCACCACCATAGTCCCGTGCATTTCCCTCCCTTCCCCCCCTCCCCGTTTTTGGTCCCATTCCCCACTCCACCCCCACAGAATGTCTCTGGTCTATGGTTGTTCATTATTTTTGTTATTTTCTCGCCTGGTCCATTATACTCCTGCTATGAGTGAAACCATCCGGTATTTTTCTTTCTCTTTCTGGCTTATCTCACTAAGCATGATCTTTTCCAGCTCCATCCAAGTTGCTGCAAAAGACATGTGTTTCTCTTTTTTGGTTGCTGAGTAATATTCCATTGTATATATGTACCACATCTTTCTAATCCAGTCATCTACTTTTGGGCATTTGGGCTGCTTCCATGTTTTTCCAATTGTAAATAAAGCAGCAATAAACATGGGGGTACAAGTATCTTTTTCAATCAGTGTTTTTGCAGTACAACTAAATTTTAAGCACGTGGGTGAAGACCCAGTTCACAGTGGGGTGCCCTGTAACAAACCCATGTTTAGAATGTCGAAAGCAGTGGGAGGCTTAACTACAAAGAGCAAGTAGACACTTCAATGTCTATTAAGAAGCTGCCTTCCAGATCTAGGTAGTTGGCCCCTTAGATCTCAAGTTTTGGAGGTTCCAGGTACCACAAAGGCGGAGTTGAAGAGTGGGACTGAAAACAAGTTCGATCAAGGACACTACCATGAAGAGACACTTTAGCCCCTCCCACACCCCTGGCTTCTTTTGGGTGGAATAGAAGCAGAAGTTTGAGACTTGGGGAAGGTGTCAGAGATGCCTGAATGGGAAGATGGGCACTAAATAAAAGCGGAATATTGAACAAAGTGACCAGCATTGCTGTCTCCCACTTGTCTTTATCCATCTGGCTCTGAGAAAGCCAGCAACCAAGCTTATCTGCCTCAATCAGGAAACTGACTTTTTTTTTTGATAAGTTGAATCACTAGAGAGAAATAATCTTGACATTTGGGAATCCCTCGTTGAAAATTCCAACTCATCCCCTACGATGTCCACAATGAAGCTCTGTCCATGAGACTAGCTTCCAGCCTTCTGTCAGCTTTAGAGTGGGGCTCATCACTTAGCTCGTGAGCCAAGTCTCACGGTCACCTGAGAGCCTCAACACAAAAGCCCGCGGTCAAAACAGACAAAGGAAGCAGGGAGACTGCTCCATGCAGAGAACCACAACTTCAGGAAACTAATTATCCTCAGTGAGCAAAACAGAACTTGCATCTAGGAAACAAGAATAGGATGCTATTTTAAAAGACTGAAAAAAAATCAGAGCTCTTGAAGATTAAAATGTGAAGGTCAAAAATTTAGTGAGAATCATAGATGAAGTTTTTATGTACTTCAATATAGCTCAAATGGCATTTTAGTAGCACAAATGTAGCTTAAAGTGTGTGTGTGAGTGGGGCTGTATGTGGCTTCTGAGTGGCTGGGAGCCCCTGGGGGAGGCGGGTGAGAGCTTGTGCTCACTTCCCTCAGCTGCTGCTCCTGCCCCTTTCCTCTCTTCATAGGCTGAATCTTTCCTTGGGGTGTTATTTCCATTTTTCTGCCAAAGGCCACTGGTGCTCACATTTCTTAACATAAAATATTTACAATAATATTAATTCCAAAGCTATGAGATGCTTTCAGCTTCAAGCAAGAGCCCCCTATTCAGGCTGGCTTCATTAAGACATGTATTATCACCAAACAGTAAGTGGGTTTCAGGGTTGGTTGACTGAGATTGGAAAAGCCAGGGGCACCCCCCTAGTACTAGCTGATTTCTTAAAACCATGAGTCTTTATTACTGACATACTTAAGACTGCCATTTGTGCTACTGCCAAGAGATCAGGCATTCTGAAATAGGCATGGATCAAATTTTTATACACTAGAGCCCATTGGTGCATTAAGTTGTGCTGCTTGAGCACGAATTTTTGTGGAAAACTGCCATGTCTGTGTGTTAAATATGCATCATTGTCTAGGCAGGTCAAAGCTCTGCCCTGACCCTTTAAAATCCAAGCCTGCCCGGTCTTGAACAGGTGTGAAGGGAGGACACTTCCGCAGCAACCAGCAAGCTCAGGCACTTGGTCACACAGATTCTGGCATAATGGTGGGTTACGCAATGAGAGACAGGTAGCAACTCCAAAGATACAACTCCTAATCTCTGAAATGAACATTTCCTGCTACTTCTCTTCACTTTTACTGGATTAAATTTTATTGAAGGGTGTCCTGAGAATGCACAGTGAGGTACTTTAGATTTTTTATTATTACCTTTTAGCTGTGTTACTCAGATTATTCTCAATTCCCAATCCAAAATAAAACAAAGGAATTAGACTGCTGAGGTTGACAAGACTGCAAGTGTTATCTGTGACTTCCAATTTGACATTTTTATGTATGAAAATACCTTCATTTTATCATTCACTATCTTGATATATGGTTGTTGTAAGTTTGAAACTTTAATATATATTTGTACTAATGTCACTGTAAATATTTTACATTAGGGTTCCATGAAAATTTCATTTGACAATTATTTTCCTGCTAAAAAGGGTTCACTACCATTGGCCTAAACCGTGCAAAATTAGGAGATATCCAGAATGTCACAAAAATCACAACCTGGTTAATAATCCATTTTCCCTATGAAATAGATTTTGAGAAGAGTAGTCATCATGGGTGTTCACATTTAATTTGATGAGATTAATTTTACACCACCATAATTATTAGTACCTAAAATATATATATATATACATACATATATATGTATGTATATATATATATATATCAGTCCTCTAAGTTAAATTATAATGTGATTTTAGAGATTATATCCTACTTCTATTTCTACACTTATTTAGAAATCTAAAACAGAAGTGGCTTTCTATTTAGCAAATTTTACAATATAGCAATTTAAAAAAATTCCTTTGCGAGAGGTAGTGGAAAGACGAATCAATGTCAAAAGGTGATTTTGAGCACTAGAACAAGCTACTGTACTAGGTCATGCGTTCTTGGGTCGCTGTAGTCCTGTAATCCACCCACCTCACCAGATGGCATGATGAATAAAAGGGAAAGTAAATGTGAATGTAGCAAACTGCTATAAAAAGAGGTTTAATATTTTATTCTTGGGCTCTCTTTCCCTATTTTGGATATCATGGTCTTAGTTTCAGAGGTCCTAATCAAAATAAAACAAGAAAACCTATTTGGTAGATCTGAGGTAGTCACCAAAGAATCAACATTCAAACTCTTAAAACTAGATTATCTCACTGTTTTATTATGCAAAGAATATATGCCAGTGACAAGCAAATGGACCACAGCATAACAATGTTGGCTGTTTCCTCATGAAACAGAAAACAAGTGTGGGAATAAAATACAGATAACAGGGACTTAAATTATACTGTTCACAGTAATCTACAAAGGTATCTTATGATCATAGCAAGCCACTGCTTGTTCGGACAAAGAACATAAGCTAAAAGACAAATGAATCACTAGAATTAAATATGAACAGCTTATTTACATATTCTTAAAATAAAAATTAGGGATGTCCAGGAGGCTGGGCATGCGCAACCACCTCTATTACCAACTGGAATCAAATTTGAAACATTCTGTGATCTTGTCAAGTGTTAGAGGACTTTTGTTTTTCTTTTAGCGACCAGATTTTTCAGGAAAAATTCACCTATTAGAAAGACATGGAAATATATTATCATTTTAAAGTAAATTTCAGAACAATATTCTGTTTCCCTGTAAAGATGACCTTTGCATTGACTGGCATCTCTTTCTTCTCAAATCTCAATGGCAATACTTTTCTCAAATCTTGTATTTGGCCCTTTTCCTGTAATAATGCTCAGTTATCTTTCTTTTTCAAAAAATGACCACTGTTGTGTCTATTATTCTTTGCAGTAACTCAATATTATTCAGGGTGACTCTGTCGTCTCTATGGGTCTGCTCCTGTACATTTTTCCCACTTTATGTGCGCTGTCTATTCCTCATCAGTGACAAAGTATTGCTGCTGGCACAATTCATTTCAGAGAGCAATTCTGCTATGTTATTAGCCTGGATCTGATGTTTATAAAACAGACCGTGTTGCAGTTGAGCAGACTCATCTGATGGAATCTCTAGCTTATTCCCCTCAAGGGAAGCAAGAGCTCTTTATTTATAATGGGCTTTCTCTCTCCCCCTAAATTGTGCCTGTGCAGGAAGCTAGCTGCTTAGAGGGTACTTTTCGGTCATTAGGGGTCCAGCCCGCCTGTCATGGGTACAGCACGGTGCAGGACAAGTGGCGGAGCTTAGCACTACCGGCTGGAGGAGTCTGATGAACTTCTTCTGCCACCTTAGTACAGGAGTAGAAGTACAATGGCCATATTTGTACACAATCACAAGAACCCCAAGTCTCCACCCTAGCCAGGGAACAGAGAATAATCCATGCTGCTCCACAGCTCATCTAAGTCTGACAGGAGGAGAACCAGCACTGCCAGACCCTAGTCTATCATCTGAGTCTGAGGCACTACATACCAGAATTCAATCTTAAGTTTAAATTCAATTTTAATTTTAAAAAGCTTAAGTCTTAATGACTTTCTAAATGTTAGAAAATTTCCTAAAACAAAAAACAACACTAAACCTCAAATGGTTTATTTTACTTTAACACTTCTGGAAACTAATGTTTGATATGTTTTTGTCTTGCCAGTAGCACTACTTAAAAAAAATTAAATCACTTACAATTACTGGTTTCCAGCCAGAGTCCCCACATTTTATCAGTACTGAATCAAATTTTTAGGTTTTACAACTGCAATAGGCTGCTACACAGAATTTAATGCTATTAATTAAAATATCTTAAATTTTTTATAGGAATATACTGAGCTTTTTGTTTTTTTGCTTTCACCACTCCTTAGGGATATACTATTACTAATAATTGAACATTATATTTACAAATAATTTATGCATTATTTAAATATATTAAAGATTTAGAACACAATGTTTAACATAGTCACTCATTAACATAGTTCAGACATGCAAATATTAACTATTTGCTCATTAAAAAGATTACAATTGCTAAGACTAAATAACAGAGAAAATATAATAAACATCTTTTGGATTAAATTCAGCTTCCAGATATGTTCTCGCAGACCTTTTGGTCACAATACGTGCATTCTTTTTTACTCCTTGTAAAGTTTTTTATTTTCATAAGTTAGCCCAAGCTACAGATCAAAGTAAGAGCTGGAATTAAAGAGGTTAAAAGTTGTACTGTAGTTAGCTAAAACACTGAAAATTTCTAGAAGGAAAACAATCTTTTCTTAAGAGGACAAAAACACAAAGATACTAATGGTACAAATAGAAATGCTATCAAAAAGATAGTTTTCAGGATTTAAAATTGATCTGAAATTGGGAGTTTGGTGATTTTAATTGGCATCACTGTCATATAAGTATACATTTAAAAAAATCAGGTTAGCTGACTGCTATTTGTCACTTCTGGATACTCATCACTCAAGCCCACACAAAGTATAAACTGTTTCTTCTGCTTTTGTCATATTAATATAAGTATTGTATAACGGAGGGAGGTAGGAGTCTTCACATAAGAGAAAAACTTAGGCAAGTTCCTGAGATATTCCAGGGGGAAAAAAATGTGTGTGTTACAAAAGACAGACAAATAGATGAAAATCTACCTCTGAGCTTTTGTGATTTGGTGATTTCGGGTAAAACTTAAGGGCTACGAAGCCACCCTTGCAGCCTAGCTTACCTGCTTTATATGATGAACGCACCAGAGGGCCGCTTGCAGTATAGTGAAATCCAAGTTCATTTCCTATTTTTTCCCAATATTTGAATTTCTCAGGAGTAATATATTCTTCAACCTAGATTCAACAGATTAATTCTCATACATTCTAGAATTTCCCTAAATCATTTAAAACCTATAGAAAATATATACTCATGCATTCAGGATAGTTTTCAGTTCATAATTTATCCAAGTACCCCCAGGCCTTCCTACTTACCAAATACCTGTCTACTGGTAACTTTTTATTTTTTAAACCATTTTTAAAAGATTTATTTATTTATGCATATAAGAACTGGGGTATAGGCAGTGAAAGGATTCACCAGAGACAAGAGTGGGGAACAGAACAGACAGATAAACTGAAATACACTGATGAGGGGAGCAGTGGGCAAGAAAGAACTGTGCTGTGCTATGTGGGTTAGCTCCCTGGCTGGGATTGAACGCATGCTGCAGTGTCTGGCAACAATGTGACAGCACTGTCTTTAACCCCTGCACCACCAGGGAGGCCCTCTACTGATTACTTGCTGGCTATGCTATCAGAACACAATTACAGGGAATTAGAGAGAAAGGAAACTTATGTCAATTTTATATTACATCAGCTTTTCCAAAGGACAGAGAAAGAAAATGAGATTATTTATAGAGACTATCCGTATTGTTTCTCTTTAACAAGAATCACTTTTGCCCTTAAGATTCTTGGGGACAAGTATGTGTCTTGGTATTTTCTGCTTAGCATTATGTCTGACATGGTCACAAGTGAACAAAAGTTTCTTGAATGAATGAATGTCTAATATGGAAATAAAAAGACTGACTTTTCTTGACTTCACTACTTCCTGTCATATAATTCTAAAACAAACCCCCAAATCACAACATGTGAGTACAATTTCCCAACTTTTACACTGTACTTTTGTGACAGAAAGTCACGTTAGTGGCAGCAAGTAAGTGCCAGTGTAGCTTCATGCAGCTACATGAAACAGGATCTTGGAAATTCACACTAAGAAGTCAGCAATTTCTAAAGTTCACCTACTGACAACAGGTCAATAAAAATGTAATTCAGATTACCACTAAACATTTGGTAATGCAGGACAGCTATACCTTCAGGTGACGCTTTGTTGGCTGCATATATTGTCCTAAAGTCAAACAGTCCACATCTGCTTCCCGAAGGGCTACAGGAAAAAAACACATGTTGCCTCAGCAGGTATTTCTACAATGCTTACATTTTACTTCAGAACAGTGTGAACTCTCATGCTGTCCTACAGTCCTCAGGTTGGGGAATAAGACTATACCCATCCATTCTCAATGGCACATTCTTACATGCCAGGAAAAATGCTAAGGATTGACAACACAGGCATAATTAAAAGCATCCTTGGGGGCAGACAGGTACAAAGACAACTCTGATACTCTGGAATAAATGTTAAGATAGGGTGTTTTAGGGCAGGATTCTGTTAGGCGGAAAGATGAAAGGAACCATGTATGGAAAGTCTGAAACCACACATATTATAGACCAGACATACTATGATGGGCTTTTACTAGATGTACAAGAACTGCTTTGGGAGATATGATTTGATTTCTGACACATAATAAAATTTGCTGCATTATGGCAAAGGACAGCTTTTAATTACTATTTGAACCTTCTATTCTTTGAACCAAAAAAAAAAAAAAAAACAAAAAACCCCAAAAAACAATTCTAAGTAGGCCAAGCACCCTCAGGAAAATAAGTTTTTATATTTAAAAATTTCAAAAGCCTAAGAATCACAAAACAATTAGGCTTATGGGACTAAGATTCAGTGAAGCCTGACGCACATGTGACAAAGTAAGCTCTTCCTAAAAGGCCTGGCTTCGTCCTAGTCTCTCGCAACGGTCTGCCCACCAGAGCTCCTGGTCTGGGTGGCTCTCAAACACTTTCCAATGGCTAAGTAAGTGGACAAAATCATGTTTTCATTTGATATAAAGGTACAAGTAAAATGGGGTACAAATTTCATGCCCTCAGTTTCCTATTTACATTTCATAAAGTTTTAAGAAACCACGCTTCCTTTCAGGGCTGCTGTTCATAATCATATTCTTTACTTTGTTCTTAATGGCACTATGGAGGAAGCAAAAATTTAACAAGGCAAAATTTTTTATTTTTCAATTGCTTTACCTTTCATCGTTGCATATACTTGTTCGTCAGTCTCACCTAAACCCAACATTATAGATGTCTTAGAAATAACATCTGGCTGAACCTCCTTGGCATATTTCAATACCCGCAGAGACTGGTCAAAATTGGCTCGGGGATCACGGACTTTCCTTGAAAACAACAGGGACGTTGTCAGAGAGAATAACCACAAGCTCATCTAAATAAAGTTAACCAGGCAACCCAAAGACCAGAAAAAGTATATATTCTGGACACTGTCTTACACCCTAGGGTCCAAAGGTAGCTTTTGTGCACAATTGCCTGTCACTATAGGAAAGAGAATAAGGTTTCATGAGGCCTACTAGCTCTGTCTACTTTGGAGACCTTATACACCGTGAGCAGAGAAAACTAGCAGTATTTGAGTTTATGCAGAGCTTGAGAAACCAGAATTTGGGAACTGAGAATGAGTGAATATATGAGGTCTTCCAGAGAGAAGACTAAGTGTACAAGTAAGGAAAATTGGACACTAAACAAAGAAAAAACTGTTTAACTTAACCCACACTTCACAGATGTTAAGTTTTATGTTCTGAATATAAAAGATTAAGCTGCCCTCTGCTGGTGAGTACACGGTGTTATATGTCTTAGGTTAAAAAAAAAAAAAAAAAGCACAATTCTGGAATTTTCACCAGGAAAGTGGGAAACTGGCACCCACTGGTGGTGGTATCATGAGGTGTGACAAGGGAGGGACACACGGTGTGCTGGACGTCAGCGCTGGCCGAATCGCCATTGCTTATACCACTACAAGGCCCAAGGACAGGAAGTTGCTGTTATAACCAGCAATTATTTGAGTTCTTATGTACTTTTTATTCTGTGTACTCATTTGTTATTTTTTGTGCAGTGATTTTTTATTTTTAATCAGAGAATAATTTAGAGAGGAAGCAAAATATGAGTTTAAAAATAACCACAAACTTACAATACATAAAGTATTTTTTAATATAAAATTTTAAAAAATCTAAATTTTAATTTATGTCCCCTCATACTAATTTATGACTTAATGGAAATTTTATTTACCAAACACACTTATTCCAAGTTCTATGACAGAGTGAATGAAGCTAATAAAACCACTGCCAAATACAATTAAATAAAATGAACCTACTAATTTTGTCTTAAATGTTAAAATGATTACTTTTCTAAAATATTAATATAGTTATTGATATGTAATATTATACAATTATACTACGTGCTAAAATTACTCAGAAGAGAAAGGAAACACAATATGTATTGTTTTTTGGGGTAGGTGAAGATGGGAAGGTCTTCTTTATTTAAGGAATACTTTATGGATGTCAGTGTCTACTATATAAAAGCAATTTAAAATGTGTCTGAATGATATCAGTTTTTCATGTGTGTGAGAGAGAGAGGAGTCAGTAGAGACAGAGTAGAAAGCAGAACAGGCAGGCTTAACTGAAATACACTGTTGAGGGGAGCAGCAGGCACTACAAGAGAGGTCTATTGCACCAAGTGTGTTAGCTCCCTGGTGGGAACTCAGGCTGTAGCTTTATAGTGAGTAATTGAAATTATCAGGTGGAATGTTTTGGGTGATGTTTATGCTCTTTTCGTTGGCTAGATTTTCTGATTTCTTTGGAAAAGGCATACATTATTTTTGTTTTATAAACAAAGAGTATTCCCTTTGTAAAAGTCAATTACAAAGTTCTCTCCAGAATATTCTGACCACCTTAACTTCCCAACATTATCCTGTACATGTAATCACCTCTGCAATTCTGGAACTGTTTCTATGTTATGTGCATATACGTCTAATCCTGACAAAGCAACTTTTTCTATTGCTTTAAGATCTCCTCGGAAATCAGGTGTGAGACATTCCACAAGAATTCTTGGATTCCTACAGGGGGAAAAAAGTAAGTATCAAATTGAAGAAAAAGAATTGACATAAATGTAGCTCAGAATAGAAATTACCAGTATTCTCAGTATCAGTTTCAGCACAATAATCTTTACAACTTTGCCAAGGAAAGTCTGAACATATTTATGTCCATATATCAACTATTATATAAAACAAAATTGAAAATATATGAAATACATACCCAGTAGGTGAAATATATGTGCATACACATACTGAGTAGGAAAAAAAATCTAAGATTATGACTTTTAAACCTTATTGCGTAGGTATTAAAAAATAAAATTGTCTAAAGGAACTAAATGTAAATATTTAAATATTAAATATATAGCTCTTTATTCTTTGGAATATAAAATGGAATACTTCTTATGTGAATATAAACAAAATTTGACTAATTTTGATTCCTTTTAAAATTCATCAAATGGTGCTCTGCTTCCTTCTTCTAGGCAATTATTTCACAAGTGCTATGGGTTTTCTAAAACTATTTTCTGAGTAGGTAAGATATGAACTTGACTTAAGTGAAAAACAAGCTAAATAATAATCTTCTGCTTATCTGCTTATGTCAGCCTCTACCTGTGCATTCAAACATTAAAATGTGAACTGGCTCATAGAATTGTTCTCTTTGACAGCAGCAGAAAAGACTGGGAAAGCTGACAGTTTTCCTCACAAATCCAGAGGCAGTTTCTAGAGCAGTTTACTGAGAGAACTGATGGGGAAAGGCCTTACATACACCGCTCATAATTAAGGTCTGCTGAAGGAGCACATCCTACAACCCACTGCCTTTTTTTTTTTTTTTTTGAAGTGCCACTGCCTTTTTTAACTGCACGTTGAACCTGATTAGTGGCATTTAGTGTATTGCTAACATTTTTTTAAATGAGGTATAAAGACTAAAAAACATTATGGGAATTAATGGAAGAATACAAAGCATGCTAGGTGCTTGACTAACACTGAGCTATAGGACATAAGTATTTTTATGTTTTTTAAACTCCCCTTTTATATTTTTTAATGGGATTAAAACATAATAATAATATTGTGGACTATAGGTAAAATTCCAGGGCACATGAAATCAATATCAAGATTAGCATATTTTAACAATGTAGGAGCTTTTCTCTGGAGTATGATTTATTCAAAATCAATGCAGGTGTGGCTACAACTTTATACTTGTCTTTGAAATTAGCTCAAGGTGCTGCCTAAGTTTGTGCTGCTGAATCCAAAATATATCGACAAACAGGTACCTCTATGTTCATACTGAAAAATCACCATACAATTTCCAAGAGATTATCGGAAGGGTTTACAAGCCCTCAAAAAGGGTAATATCCATTTCTTTAAGGTTAAGACCTTAAATAAATGGAATTTATCGGGGGTCAAAAAAAGTCCTTAAATTATGCAAGCAAATGTAAAAGCAAGTACCTCTCCTTTAAGTATGATACAGTCTTTGCAAAGTGCTCAGCTCCTCCATCAGGCATATCTAGAAACACAAAAGGATGTCACAACTCATTAAGAGTCAATTACTGGAAGAAGCACTGATGCCAGACATACTAACCATCTCGATCCACAGACGTCAGGACCACATAATCCAGACCCCACTCTGCAATTGCCTTTGCAGTATTGTAGGGCTCATTCACATCCAGTGGAGGTGGATTTCTTGAAGTCTTAACAGAACAAAATCTGCAACCTCTTGTACATGTGTCACCCATTAACTAAAACAAGAGATATTACAACTGGTATCAAGTAGGCAAATGATACTCAGAAATACATTGAGAGGGCCCTCCCTGGTGGCACAATGGGTAAAAGCACAGCACTACGAAGCCAGAAACAGCTACTACACGAGTTCGATCCCTGACCAGGGAAGTTTCCACCTGCCGAGGCAGATGTCTCCCAACCTGCCCACTGCTCCCCTCAGCAGTGTACTACATCAATCTGCCTGTTCTGCTCCCCACTCTGTCTCTGGTGAATCCTCTAACCACCCCTGCACCTCTGGGTTGTACCCCAGTTCTATATGCATAAATAAATAAATATTAAAAAATACATTGAGAGACTAAAGCAAGTTGCAAAGAATAGTAGAGCTTGAGTCTGCTTGTAAGAGATTTGAACATTCATAGCTAAACAAAATATAGATAAGAATACAAATACAGACAGCAAAACTAAAAAGAAAAGGAAATTATAGCTCCAAATTAAGAACAGTGTTAAGGGAAAAGGAAAAGAGATGAAGAAAGGATACACGGGGTTCAAAAGTAATGCTGATACTCTACTCTCAAACTGGAGGTGAACTACCTGGCAGTATCCTCTCTAACTAACACAGCTTATAAAGACTCTTTTATATATATGTAATATTAACAAAACTGATTTTAAAAGAAATAAAATATCCAGTTAACATTCTAGACTGTAGGTCTCTGTTGGCCAATAGAATGAGAGCAAGCATCAAGCAGAAATCTCAAATGTGCGCTAATAGCTGTTTTGCCCTCTGTGTTCCCTGTATTCTTTTTTTATTAAGAGTTTATCTTTTTTTATTTATGGATACAAGAGACAGAGTAGGGAGCAGAACAGATGGACTGACTAAAATACATTGCTGAGGGGAGAGCAGGCAAGGCAGAGGAGGTCTGCCGCGCCATGTGTGTCGGTGGGTGGGTCGGTGGGTCAGCTCCCTGGCTGGGATTGAATTAATACAGCGGTGGCTGCCGGCAACTTCATAGTGCTGGAACTTAACCCCTTGCACCACCAGGGAAGGACCCCCTCCTTGCATTCTGTATGAAATAACATACACTGAAAAGCTGCTGATCTAAGGGGAGGAAGGCACAAGAGCAGATCTGAATTCAACCCACTTTCTAGAGTACAATTTAGCACTGTCAAGATCAACTAAGCCCCCATGACCTAAAAGACCCACGGAAGAAAAAAATTACTGCTTTTTGTTCAGGGGGAAAGGAAGTTAAGCTATTATGAGTTAGTTACAAAAATTAAAAGAAACACTGCTGCAATGCAGTAAATGTGCAACTGTCAAAAAGATGGAAGAATCAACAATAGAATTTATTCAGAAAAGGGTAAGATCATAATAGGCTGGAATTTTCCATCAGGCTTTTTTTTTTTTTTCTTGGCACATGTAAACGCCTATGTGATTAAATTTGACCAGGTTCGTAGTGTACATTTTTAGGGAAAAGAAAATGTTCCTTTCAGTTCTAAACTAAAACTTCAGCGTTTAAGCCTGGCCTTACCATGATAGTGGCGGTGGCGGTGGCGTATTCTCCACCTCCCCAACACTCGCCAATATTGGGACATCGAGCTTCCTCACACACCTATGAGCAAAAGGGAACTGAATATAAGCTGGCTGAAAACATTTACCAGTGGAACAGTATTTTAAACCACTTATTCTTTATATTTATGAAGAAATTCACTATTCAAAAAGGACACTAAAATAGTCAACTGCCTCTATTAGAATCTTCCCCACTTTTAAACTGATACCATTGGTTTACAACACTGAGTATGTTTTAGCAGCACAGGCTCACCCCTCTTCAAAGGTATGTGGCATACAACACGCCTCACCCATGCACTAACACCCCTGCTGGACTCTGCGGCTCCAGCACCTCTTCCCTTCTGGTAACCTCAGCTCCATAGTCAGACTCCAAGATTTGTTTTGGTCTTGTTCCACCTTTTCATTTGCTTTGTTTCTTTTATATTTCACATATAAGTGAAATCAAATACCATTTTTAAGTCAAAAACCATATAAAGGTATTTATTTTATATAAGCAAAAGGTCTGGAACACAATATATTTGTTAAAAGGGTACAGTTAAGATCTGGAATCACGTATATGCCATTTCACACTTAATATTTATACTTTTTCCACTAAGCATGTACTTAATTTGTAATATAAACAAACAGTGCCTCTTTCCTAAGTTGTGGGTAAAAAGATCTTTTTTATATCATTAAATGAGAGAATAAGAAATACATTTATTTTTTCATTCTTTTTAGTTCAGGAAAATTATTTTTAAAATGGATTTCCTTCCCTTACTGATAGTAATGTATCACCAAATATCTTTGTTTTCATTATTATTATTAGCAATATGTATTTTGTTAATTTCAAATTACATGTATGTAGAAGCATGACTGGGAATATTTTAGAGGAATATTTAACACTCTGTTGACTTACTGTATGGAGATTTAAATTCCGTAGTGTATTTTTCAGTTTATTGTAATTTTTTCCTATGGGAATCTCTGTCTTTAGCCATGGAGGTAGTCTTAACCTGAGGAAAGCCAAACAACCATCCATTTACCAATACGTGCCAACTAATCTCACATCTATGAAGTTACTTTGCTTGTCAAGAAGCTTTTTTCCCCCTATAACTTGGATTAAGTTTTATCATTTCTGTCAAAGGAACAAGAACAGAGAATCAAATTTAGATTTGCTCAAACCACCTACACAAATTCCAATCATTGTATCTAACACAGCACTAAACTCATGTCTACCTTTTGCAAAGACAGAGTAACAAACTAGTAAGTACTAATAAAAGAATGCAGACATTTTTGAACATTTCATTCCTCAATGAATAATGCTGATCAAAACTTCTATATTAGTTCAGAGTTTGGGGAGATCCCCAAGTATACTGTCTGCTCTGTCCAGATCCTAAGATAGTTATTTAATGACAAAACTCTACAATTTGGAGTGAAGATGATATATCCTCAAGTCCTACTTGATTTCCACCTATTTGTGATCTAGAAACTGTTGGGTAAAGTATCCTGTACAAAATTCTCTTTCCATTCCAGAAGTCTGTAAGTCATACATACATCGACAAGAAGTAACAAATTAGATCAACATACCCAATAACAAAGAAAAATTTATTAAGGTCTAATAGACCAAAAGCAAGATGATTACTTTTAATCTTATGGATTTGATATGAAATAGGAAAAAAAAGGAGATGGCAATACAGGATGGTTAAATCCTCAGAAGGTTGAAGAAAAACTGTCAAAGAGAACAGTAAAAAGAATTCTAAAAATTTTACCTACTTGCTTATTCTACATCTATTATCATTTCTTATTTATGATTTTTTAGCTGAATTTAACAAGTCTGACTAAACATATATTCTAGGGCTTGGGTATATATAAACATAATGCATGGGACATTAAAATTATCCCAAATTTCAATTACCTTTCTCCTTTCTGGCGTTTTAAGTTTCCTTTATATTCATTCCAGGTGCTCTTGTCTGCAAGATCACCAGATATAAAATCTTGAAGGTCCGGTCCATTCTGCAAAAATTCCTTTTTTTTATCTGTCAAGGAACTTACTGTTCTGATTGGACTGCATATGTATCTTCCAAATATCTAAAAAAAAAGTTCGTGATGACATGTGCTTAGAATAATTTAGTTTTAACCTACTTTAATACTTAAAAGGAAGGGTAAAGCCAGAGAACTGTTTTAGAAATTATGTCAAGCTATTTACAAGCTCTATATAGGAGCTTAGAATCTAAAATTAAAGAGGACTCAAAGAAAATAAACCAAACCTCAAGGAAAATTGGAGTTAACTGTTTACTATTAGATTTAGGGTAGATTTGAAAACCATTGCAAATGGCTAACCTATGTTACATTTTCATGCATCCCATTTAATACTGAAATTCTGTTCTTCATCAAGTAAATTTGATATTCCTGACTTGGAGCCAGGAAAGTTTAAAAGGAAACTGCTTTAACCTTTGAATAAGTGTGGGCGTTAGTGAGTAATGCTCAGCGGGTTTTAGAGAACTGGAGGAGAGACAAAGCAAACTTTATGCTGTTTTAATTTTCTAGGTTACAATGTTTGCAGTATGGCAGTCACGCGAAACATGGCTGTTGACCATAGGAAACCATTGGCTTCTAGATTTCAACATAGACAAAAAACCCATAACACTATAAAAGTCAAGAACCAATACATGTAACACCGAAGAACCGTCAACAGAAATTCAGAAAGCATGTTAACGGTGCTGCATGTTGGTATGGCACTGGTCTCTATCTTCCGTTAAAATCTAGGTACAGGTTTGTGTTCGCGCCAGTGCGATGTCAATACACAGTAAGAGCTCAATACTGTAAATTGGGGGTGCTCATCACACTGCTCCTGTAGTGCTTCAAAAAATATAGGGTACAAATCACTCTGATTAGCGGAGGTAAAGAGGAGAAGTAGAGGCTCGTGGCGCAGGCCAGAGAGACCTATAAACAAATCACCCGGTGTCCGTTGAATTAAATGCAATACCACCCGAAAAAAATGTAGAACTATGCCTGGCTAGAAATAAAGGATCAGTGTCGCCTTGTTATAGGGCGCTGTAAAGGAAGGGGAGCCCCCAAACCCACGGCCACACCCTGCACGCCCCACCGCTCACCCGGGGCCCAGAAGAGAGAGCGGCGCCCCCGCAGAGTAGAGACATCCCCTACTATTTTTTTCTTGCAGGATCGAAGTATTGCTAATTCACTGGAAAAGACAGATCGACAACCCGTCGCTCGGCTTGTGACGCAAATCCTGCGCCGCAACAAATACGGAGAACCCTGAGCTGCTCCGCAATTGGCTGCTTTGGTCTAGTGGCGTCGCGCTCTTATGACGCCATACGCAGGGCGCTCACCGCCTACAAGAACGTCATGACGAAAGACGCTCTCTCTTTGCCGCATCTACTGCGAGGTGAGTAGGTGTTTGTGCACGGTGGGCTTCTTGAATCTGAAGCCATCGTCCTTGGGGAAACCAGTGGCGCGCTTTAGACGCTCGAAGCACTTGTACCTGGTGTCTCCCTGCCGTGTGGATATGGTAGTGCTGGGGTTTGAGCACTGTTCTGGGCTTTTAGGCCTTCCGTGCTTAGCCTTGCCTGGATGGCGCCGCCCTGATGGCACTCCCAGGATGGGGCTCAGAAGGGAGCCGGCCAGCTGGGCCTCCCGGGCCAGGGCACACTGACAGCCGCTCAGCGTGTTACTGTCAGTCCCCGCTGCGGGATGGCTGGCTGGTGCTCCGGCAGGAGCGGAGCTCAGTGCAGGGTAGTTTGGTTGGAAACAGGTCCTGCGCCGGTTCTTACCCCGAGTCTTTGTGTTTCAGAATGAAGACCATTCTCAGCAATCAGACTGTCGACATTCCAGAAAACGGTAAGAGACGTGATGCATGTTTATTTTCTTTCGCCTTTACGAAACGCTTTGTACCTTGTTCAAAGGTCTCGCGGGTATGTTCTTTCGTAGTCGACATCTCCCTGAAGGGTCGCACAGTTATCGTGAAGGGCCCCAGAGGCACCCTGCGGAGGGACTTCAACCACATCAATGTCGAACTCACTCTGCTCGGGAAGAAAAAGAAGAGGGTGAGTCAGTTGGATTGGATGCTGGCGGTCTGACAGCACCCCGTTTGGCCACCTTAGAAGATAGGAAATTGAGTTTCGGTGTTTGTCTGGTGTCTAAAATTGTGGCTAGATTTGGTGCTGCTCCTCTGTCAGCGGCTTGGGAAGCCATGTTCTGAGTAGACTGGGTTGTGCCTTCAGTGTCAGGTTTGTTCGCTTCATTAATTGTTTTGTGAGAGTCGTGGGAACTGGAAGCAGGTGTTTGAAGCTTGTGATTTGGCTTTTCCAGTAGTCAGGTTTGTTGCAGCTTGTGCAACAATTGGTGTTTGTGTATCTTTTTTTCAATTTATTAGTAAAGAACTGGGGTACAGGCCAGAGGCGAAGGGGCCGTGAGAGGATTTGCCAGAGACAGAGTGGGGAGCAGTAGGGAGACTGGAGAGGTCTGCTGCGCCCTGTGGGTCAGCTCCAGGGCGGGGGTCGAGCACGCCCTGAAGCAGCTGCAGCTCGTTTTGCTGTTCTGGGTCCTCATCTGCTGCGTCCTCACCCGCTGCGCCGAGAGTTGGTGTTCTGAGTTGCTGTTTCTCTGTCGAACTGCGCCTGTGTACCTTTGTTTTTGAAATGTCTACTGCGGTGCTTGTTATGTGACTGTGTTTTTTCTGGTTGAAGGTCCTGTGCTTATTGGGGGCTCACTCTGATCTAGAGTACTTATAGTACGTCGACAACATTTTCCCCAGACTTTTTGCAAGACACATCAACACTTTTTGTTCTGTTACAGCTCCGGGTTGACAAATGGTGGGGAAATAGAAAGGAACTGGCTACTGTGCGCACTATCTGCAGTCATGTGCAGAACATGATCAAGGGTGTTACTCTGGTAAGCAGACTTTGGGCTGTGGGGTCGCTGTGCTGCACTTTAAACACGCTGTATATAAATAAGCTGGGAGTGTAATTTACAGTTGAGCTAGAATGGGGGGAAGTTGATCTCAACAAATTATACTTAGTAAGTAAGCTTCCCCGAGTTCTGAGGATTAGGTGATAAGGTGAGTGAAGACCTGGTGGTTTTTCACATAAAAATAAGATTCACACGTTTGCAGTATGTTTTTTTTTTTTTTTATTTAAAAAGTTTATTTTTACATCATTTTTCACATTTTTTTTTCATCTCAATTGTAATCCCCATGGGTTTCCCATCACCA